AATGTTTCATGTTCATTTATGTATATTTACAACATATGTACACACTATACACTGTCACACACTATATACATTTACCATCAACACATTCAGAACATTGCGAGTGTGAGCAGCCACACCCACACAGGCCCTCCCTCACTCCAACATCTTACTCGCCAACTTAGCTCCTCCCACCATACTGTCATTGTTTTTATTACACAATTTACACATGTTATATATACTTATCTACATGTTTTAATATTTACTAGAACTATGCAAGTAAGCCGGTATTGTGTCCAAACAGTACAGTGGCCATCATACACTGCATAAGAAATCACACAGCAGACGACACTACAATTACGACGTCACATCCCTCACCAAAATATCTCATATGGGCCACTAGCAGCTGCCTCGTATGGGCCAATAGCAGGTGCCTCGTATTGACCAATAGGAGCTGCCTCGTATCGGCCAATAGCAGGTGCCTCATATGGGCCAATAGCAGCTGCCTCGTATGGGCCAATAGCAGCTGCCTCGTATGGGCCAATAGCAGCTGCCTCGTATGGGCCAATAGCAGCTGCCTCGTATGGGCCAATAGGAGCTGCCTCGTATCGGCCAATAGCAGCTGCCTCGTATCGGCCAATAGCAGCTGCCTCGTATCGGCCAATAGCAGCTGCCTCGTATGGGCCACTAGCAGCTGCCTCGTATCGGCCAATAGCAGCTGCCTCGTATGGGCCAATAGCAGCTGCCTCGTATGGGCCACTAGCAGCTGCCTCCTATGGGCCAATCCTGGTCACTAATTTCTGTAAATGAATAATTGACCACAAGTTTATTTTGAAAAGGAACCTAAGAAGTCGTTTGAAGATTCTTAGATGGACGAAATAATGCTGTGGTGCTGTGGCTAGCACTGTGAACATCGTGAACAGCATTGAATCACTGATATTTGAACATTGTACCCAGTCATTATCCCACTCAAACTCTTCTATAATACTATCACGGCTAAATAATACAGGTTATATATATATATTGACATTATTAGGCGATGCTGTGGTCACACGCTGAACAGCAGAGCTGTGCGCTCATGCTGCGAGTGCCAGCCTTGGTTGCTCACTCACTACTGAGGCTCTGACACCCGGCAATGTGGACCATGATTTTTTTTAAAGATGGCATCTGTTTACAAGAGCCCTGAGGACGCTGATGTTAACCCCATGTATCCGCGGGAGTTTTGAATGGAACGTGAAAAATAAAAACACCAGGAGGCGCGTTGCGCACCCGAAGCCTGGGCCTGCAGGCGCGTTGCGCAGTTAAAGGGTTAAAATTGTGTAATTTGTAGCATTTATATAGTGCAATATGTGGAACATTGCTATGCTCATAATTATGGGGCTCATGTATGTGACATGTATATTATATTCTACGATCAGTCAAACAGTGTTTGTGGTGTTATTACACTATATATACACATTATATATAAGCACATGTGTTGTTCACCATAACTGTACAACTATGCTGGTATAGTGGCCATCCTACAAAGCATGACAAGTCACAAACCAGCCAGCAGACGAATACTCCTCCCTCACCAAAGTGGATCCTCCCAACATAATACTTTTGCTGTTATTACACTATTGACTTACATTATATAAGTATCTACATTTGTGTTCACCATAGCGAAACACTAAGCTGGTATGGTGAGTCCAAACAATAATTGAGATCGCCACACAGTTGGCTGATGCTGCCTCCCTCCCTCACCAACATCCCTCCTCCTTCTCCTCCCACAATACTGTTTCCTGTTATTACACTATACACACAGTATATATAAGTATCTACATGTTTTATTCACTATAACTGTACAACTAAGATGGTGTGGTGTCCAAACAGCATAGTGGCCATCATTCACTGCATGGCAAGTCACACACCAGCCAGCAGCCGACGCTACCTCCCTCACCAAAGTGGCTCCTCCCAACATACAATGGGGCCTCGACTTACGATGCTAATCCGTTCCCAGAGACGGATCGTAAGTCGAAGCGATTTTTCCCATAAGAAATAAAGGTAATTGAATTAATCTGTTCCCCACCCTCCAAAATATTAACATACAAATACATTTTATACGGAATACAATGTTTTTTTCTAACTACAATACAGTACCAAAGTTACTCTTACCTTTATGGAGGGCTCTTGATGGCATATGGAAGATGGTGATGAGGGGGAAGGATGAGAGTTGTTACTGTTTGGAAGGGGAGTCCCCTTCCGTTATCACATCAGGCAGTGATGTTTTCTCTGGGATACACACTCTCCTACGTTTTGCCTGAATACCACTAGGACCTGGTTGTGGTTCAGTGCTTGTTTGTCTCACTACAAATTTGTCAAGAGACATTTGTTTTTCCCTTCGTTTTAACATTTATCTGTAATGATGCATCAGTGTCATTGAATAGGTTAAGGCAACGACCTACTGCAGCTTGATTTGGGCGAGTCGTTTCAGCAAAGGTTTGCAATTCTTCCCATGCTGCACACATTTTCTTAATTGTTGAGGAAGAGTCATTCTGTACTCTTGTTTCTGCTCTATGGTCATCCTTACATGGGTTTTCATATGTTGAGCCTTACCACTGACTTTCCTGGCTCGTAGCGTGATATATAATAATTACTTTAATGTTCAAAATGCAAAAAATCACCACAAAAGCGGAATTTCTTATAGGCGCGATCATCACTAAGCGGGCAGCTGTAGTAAACTGAGGCAGGTCAACCGCGTGAGCGGGAACCACGCGCTTGGTCGACCCGAACATGTACCAACAAGTATCAAAAGTCGACGACACCATCGGATGTCGAGTCACATTTTTTTATGAAATTTACATCGTACAGTGGTACCTCGGAATGCGATTGTCCCTGTATGCGAGGTTTTCGGAAGGCGAGGTGTATTTACTCCAAAAATTTGTCTCGGAAGGCGATGGTTACTTCGGGAGGCGAGTTTGTTGATACGCGTACAGCCGACCTAGCGCGTGGTGGTTCGGCGATCGTCGCCCCTCCGCCCCGCCGCCCCTCAGTTTATTATTGTCTCGCGCTCAGTGACTACCCCCACATCAATTCTTCTCGCGGATTTTCAGTGTTTTGTTGGATTTTTGGTGATTTGTCTATACAATTTGTTATTATATATCTCACCATGGGTCCCAAGAAAGCCAGTGGTAAGGATAAAGGCCAGAAAGCTCATGTGAGGATGACAATAGAGGAGAAACAAGAGATCATTCGGAAGCATGAGAACGGTACACGTGTTGAACTTTGTAGGCAGTACAACAAAGCCACATCAACAATATGCACTATACTTAAGAAGAAAAATAAGATTATGGGTGCTAAAGTGGCAAAAGGAGTAAGAACATTAACGGCACAAAGACCACAAATACTTGAAGAAGTGGAAAAGTTGTTATTAATTTGGATACACGACAAGGAGTTGAGGGGTGATAGTGTTTCGGAGGCCATTATTTGTGAGAAAGCCAGGGTGTTGCAAGAAGACCTTCTAAAGAATACCCCTGCAACGAGTGATGCAGATAAGAAAGAGTTTAAGGCAAGCAGGGGCTGGTTTGAAAAATTTAGAAAGAGAAGTGGTATCCATAGTGTTACAAGGCATGGGGTTATGTGATGTGATTATGGAAGGGGACTCCCCTTCCAAACAGTAACTCCTCTCCTCCTCCCCCCTCCTCACCATCTTCCATACGCCTACAGCACTCGACAGCAAGGTAAGTAATAACTGGAACACAGTTTTGTAGGTTTATTTAGATGAATTAGGTAAATTAGGTATAAAAATTTAGTTTGATGTGGGGTTTTTGGGGTAGTCAGGAACGGATTAATTCATTTCCCTTTATTTCTTATGGGGAAATTAACTTCGGAATGTGAGTTTTCGGAAGGCGAGGCGTCTCCAGGAACGGATTAAACTCTTATTCTGAGGTATGCCTGTAACTCGAAATTATCGTAAGTAGGGGCAATCGTATGTCGAAGTGTCACTGTATTTCTTTTGCTGTTATTATGCAATATACACACACATTATATATAAGTACATGTATCTACATTTGTGTTCTCGATAGAGAATTACTAAGCTGGTATGGTGAGTCTAGACAATAACAGGTGGCCACATAGTCAGCAGACGACACTACCTCCCTCCGTCACCAAGATTATACCTCCCAACATACTACACAGTGCTAATTATCACCACAATCATGCTATTATCAGAATGCTGGTCATTTTTATCACAGGGGTCTTCTGTAATACTATCATTGCTAAATAATAGCAGTTGCATATATATATATATTTTTTGACATTTTTAGGCAATGCTGTGATGAACCAATCAACCAGGTATCACAAGCTGAACAGTAGTTCTGTTAGCTTATGCTAAATGTGCCAGCCTTGGTTGCTCACTCAGTACTGAGGCTCTCACACCCAGGAATGTTACCCACTTTTTTTTTTTTTTTTTTTGAAAGTGACATCTCTATACAGGAGTCCTGAAACACAGGATGAGAGCCCCGTGTACCCGCGGGAGTTTTGACTCCTGCACTATACCTACGATCACCATGAGGCGCTCTGCACACCCTCGATCTTGTGCCCAAGGCACTCTGCACAGTGCCGTGTGTCTATTGTGGAAAAGTTGCTTGAATCGATAATCAAGCAACTTGAATCATTGATAATCATTGAATCGATAAAGGGCCGCTCTTGTTTGATAAATTTGCTTATATTCTATTCCAGCATATTTTAGGTAGTTGACAGTGGAAGGGATTATGACATACCTTGTACCTTGACTTTAGAAAAGCTTTTGATGAACTTAAATTAAGGAACACGTGCAGTAAGGAAGGTTGCACGAAGGAGTGGTAGTACTGTACTGTGTTATTTATGGTTGCGAAATGCAGGTGTGATATGAACATGAAAATTGATGAGTTAGAGTAGTGGAAATTAATAATAAAGTACGAGAATCGTGTGTGGTATTAAAAAATTGATTAAATGTCAAATTTAGTTGACATTCATTTGTTAATCATGAATTTTTTCTATTTCAGGAGATGGGAAATTCTTCTCTGCAACTTGTGTGGTTCATCAGGTGTTCATGTTGCCTGTGGAGGTCTGCCATTCACATGTGTTGAATGGACCTGCCCAGTGTGTGCAGACATGATAACAGAGAGTGTAAAACGTATGCGACAGGAAGTTCGTAAGAGACGCCTTCAAAATAGAAATGTCAAGTTAAAACAAAATTCACTTGAATCCACTTCACATGAGATGGCTGTGGGAAATAGCCAATCAGCAGAGGAAACAGGTTCCATTTATAGTGATTGTTCTTATGAAGACATGGCTGTCGATTCTGGAATCTGCAATGAAACGCCTTGTAAAAGAAAGTTAGAAGTTATGGACTGGAATGATGAAACTCCAGCAAAGACGAGTAAAGGAGACAGTGAGGACACTGTTCTTAAGCTAACATATGCTAGTGATTCAGATGATGAAATTGACATTGAGCTGGGGGAATACCAGGTTCCTCCTCATACCATTATTAGAGAACTTAAAGAGCATGGGGAGGAACTACCTTCACAATTAAGAAGATTAAAAGACTATGCAATTCGAGCACAAAAAAGAATGCTGGAGTTAAGGCTGACTGAAGCTGAAATGGTGATGATGGCAAAAGAGTCTTCAAAGTATAAAGCTTTTTGTGTTAATAAATCAGACATACAGAGGTTTTATCGGTATAGCTTGCCCTTAGAAAAGATGTTACAAATGCTAAAGCTAATTACAGCAATTTTTGATCTTCGGAAAGCTGCTGTTGAAGAAGCTCAATCTTCATCTGCAAAGAAACAGAAGAAAACAAAATCAATTACACCAAATGGTAGAAAATGTGGGAAAAAATCTGCTCCAGGAACTCCGAAAATAAAAATTCCTCTTCTGAAAAGTGCTCTTGCACAGTCATTGATTGCTGCAGGAAAATCACCAAAGACTGTAGAGCAACATCAGGTAGAAGCAATTGAAGACTGTTCAGTTCTAGACACTTGGTCAATGCAAAACACACAGCCCAATAACATGGAATACTCGTCATCCTTGAATATTGAAAAGGTTTCTGGAGATGGTAAAGATGTGAAAGGGGTCCTTCTCAGTACAAGTTCTGCTGCAACTGTTACTATCAATGACAATAGTAATGAAGCATCTATCCAAGCTCCTGAATCTCTTAAGACATGTGGGGAAACAAGCCAAATATCAAAGTCAGGTGAAGCTCTTATGCATGTACAACCTAAGACATCTGCAGTTGATGGTCTGCTGGAGGATCAGAACACAGAGTCCAAGAATGGGAAGAGTACAAGTACGAAAGGGGTTAAACAGGTAAATAACATGTTTAAGGTATTGTTTAGCATAGTGTTGTTCCACACATTTAACTATATAAATTCCTCAAATTACACACTCTTGAATATTACTAAAAAAACTAGATATTAAAACTTTAAAAATGTATTTGCAGCAGCTTTCACCTTTCTGCTCACCTAGGGCACATCGCCACTTGCATGTCCTCTCTCAGCGAGTGAATATTTCCACACTTCCTTGTTCCATTACAGCCAAAGTATGTCACATACATTATTTATTTTAATACAAGACCAAAAATGAGAGGGAAATAGTTTTTCTGCTCACCCCAGGTCTTGTCATATTTTATACCTGTCCACTACAGGTACTATATGTTAATGAAACACTTGATTTTTTTTTTTAAATTTTGGACTAGCCTCTCTAGCTCCCTGGTACATCAGCTCTGATACCACAAAGGTCTGGTACCACAATTCTACCAGATCTCTGGACTTGTGCAAGCCTACCAAACACCATGATCTGAGTCTGGTGTGCTCATAGAAGTGAGGGGAACATAATAATTAGCAATCAGCCTAACATAGAACAAAAAATGCAGTGGAAATAGTGGCACCTCCATATAGCAGATCCCAATAAATTTAAACCAAGTCTGTCCAATAAATTTTCCCTCCATTTTTTTAATTGAAAAGATGCTGCTGGAGAAGTTAGCGAAATATAGTTCATTGGTTCATTTTCATAAAATTTTCTTGTTTTATATATATATATATATATATATATATATATATATATATATATATATAATGTGTGTGTGTGTGTGTATATCACGAAAATAAACACGTGATTAAGAATGTGACAATGTCAGACCACGGGCAAGGAAATTCCTGTTTCATTTTTCCTCCGTGGTCTGACATTGTCATATATATATATATATATATATATATATATATATATATATATATATATATATATATATATATATATATATATATATATATATGTCGTACCTAGTAGCCAGAACGCACTTCTGAGCCTACTATGCAAGGCCCGATTTGCCTAATAAGCCAAGTTTTCCTGAATTAATATATTTTTTCAAATTTTTTTCTTATGAAATGATAAAGCTACCCATTTCATTATGTATGAGGTAAATTTTTTTTATTGGAGTTAAAATTAACGTAGATATATGACCGAACCTAACCAAGCCTACCTAACCTAACCTAACCTATCTTTATAGGTTAGGTTAGGTTAGGTAGCCGAAAAAGTTAGGTTAGGTTAGGTAGTCGAAAAAACATTAATTCATGAAAACTTTACTTATTAGGCAAATCGGGCCTTGCATAGTAGGCTGAGAAGTGTGTTCTGGCTACTAGGTACGACATATATATATATATAATATACTTATATAAATATATTACAATTCTATATATATATATATTATTACAATATTATATTTATTATATATACTGTATATATATTATATATATTTACATGTATATATATATTATATTTATATATTATATATATATATATATTATATATATATATATATAAGTATATTTTGGTAGCAGTCTTTCTTGTAAACATATGTTGTTGAATATGACCGAAAAGGTAAGATTAATAATTCTAACACGAATCTTCTCAATATTTCTTATGTTTTTCTTCACTGTCGGTGGTAATAAAAATATAAAAATTCCGAAATTATATATAATATTTATACATACATACATATATATATATATATATATATAATCTATCTCTCTCTCTCTCATTGAATATGACTGCATATTCTGTATTTACTATCTTTTGATTTAGGGCTTCTATCCCTCTAACTATTTTCTTAGCATCAGGGCTTAGCTGAAATAGGAGTTCTCCAAAACCCATTTTTGTAATTTTAAGGTGAAGAAAAGAAGTGAATTACTATAGAATGTATTACACTTATTTATACAATTTGCACGTTTCGAACCTCCATGGTTCATTCTCAAGTGAAAGGAATTTTCAGGTTTGGTTGATTTTATACCCGCACTGGGTCAGGTGATAAGACAATAAAGGTGAAAACATGGTGGGATACATAAGGGATAAAGGGGGGTGAAACATAAGAATAGAGGTAACTGCGGAAGGCCTATTGGCCCATACGAGGCAGCTGCTAACTACATACAAAGATTAATCAAGTGTAATTGGCCTGTTATGTTGAACAGTGTCTTCTATGTTGGCATCGTTATGTTCTGGTCTTGTCCTTCTCATGGTGGGTATTGTAAATAGTTCCGTGATTTGGGTGTTCATGGTAGGTTGTTCCATTCTTATGTGAATTGCTTCAAGAATTTGTAATCTTCTTACATCTTGGGTTTTGTCTATTATACAGGTATTTTTGTTCAACATTTCTCTTGTTAGGGTGATGTCATGGGCTTGTCTCATGTGATTCCTGGGGGCACCGGATTGAAGATGGCATGTCAAACGCCTCGTCAGCTTGGTCGACGTCATACCTATGTACTTAGATTGAAGGTTACATCCTTTGTGGGGGCAAGTGTACATGTATACAACTCTTGACTGCTGTAGAGGGTTCTCCGTCGGCTTCGGGCTGTTTATAGGGGAGTGACTGTGATTAAGACTGTGCAATGTTGAGATATAAGTGAACACTGCTGTTTATGATGTTCACTGTACTAGGCAGGCAGGCAGGCAGCCACAACATTATATCATTGTTTGGTCCATCTAAGCAACTTGAAATGACAGCTCAGGTTCCTTTACTTGTGGAAACTTGTGGAAAATTATTCATTTTCAGGATTTAGTGACCAGGATTTTGATAATACTGAACAGTACTGTAGAAGCATTATGCCTACTATTAGTGATGGGTGTGTGGTATGTTGAGAGAAGGAATACTAGCGTGTGGTGGCACAATGCTGTTTGAACATGCCAGATGAGCTTAGTGATTTGTTATGATGCACATTGGACGTACTGGTTTAAAAACCTGGACATGAAAATAATGCTAGTTGGGATCATGCGGAGTTTTTTCTATTCCCAAGTCTGGCCTGGGCTATGCATGTTTTGTGATAACTTGATCTAAAAGGCTGTTGCTTGGAGATGCCCGCAGGCCTACATATCCATTTATAACTTGGTTGGTCTGGAACTTTTTGCAGGAACTGATCATATTGTTTCTTGAACATGTTCTCCTTTGTTATGAATATAACCATAATAAAGTTATGGTTATGTAACCATAGCCATACCCTATAACCTATAACCTATACCATATATGGTATGGTGGTATGGTACCATATATGGCATATATATGGTATATATGGTACTATAACCATAATAAAGTTATGGTTATGTCCGACCAAATATTTCTTATATTTGAGGATATTGTAAAGTTGTAGGCCTCTCATGTTCATAAAGTGTTCTCTTGGTGTTCAAAAGAGAAATTGATCAACACCACCTAAAAATACCTGATCAACTGGGTTGTAATTCATAACTTAGATTGCGAGCAGCAATGTCTAATAGCCTGGTTGACCAGACTACCAACCAGGGTATGAAGCTGCAGAATCAGTGATCCTCAAAACCACCTCAAGATAATGCTCCACTCACCTATGGAAAAAGGTAGATTAACCCTTAACATGCTCGGGGTTTAATATCCTGTCATCCCCACAGGCGCATGTCATTTTGAAAAAAAAAAAAAAAAAATTTCTTCCTAACCTGTTAATTTGTGTTCACTGATCACAGGAAAAATAATAATAAAATCGTAAGTGGCATATATTGCCCGCTATAGGGCGGGGAAGTCTGTCAAATTATAGGCGCTGACTCAGCGTGCGTCCCAGGCGGTCTGTTGCTCGCAAGCTGTCAGGCCGGAGTTGCCACAAAGAGATAATTACTGAGTTATTTCAATGTCTCTGATTGATTTTTCATACTTTTTTTGCTGTAATATTATTCAATAGTGTGTAGTTTGATATATTTATATAATAAAATGAGTGAATCATCGCTGTACTCAAAAATATGGTGTGCATATTGTTGATTCAATTATGTTCATCAATCAGTGAACAAATACTTTGTCGGTTATTACATTATAAGCACAGGTTATATATAAGTATCTGCATGTTTAGTTCACTATAACGAACCACTAAGTAGCTATTATGAGTCAAAAAGTAACGAGGAGTGACCGCCGTTTACCAGCCAGCCACTCCCGCCCTCCCTCCAGTCATCTGACTCACCCACATTCTCCTCCCACAATAATGTTTTTGCTATAATTCACTATATACAGACGTTATATATAAGTATCTACATGTTTTGTTCACCATAACTGTACATCTAAGCTTGTATGGTGAGTAAATGCACAAAGACGTAGCTACTCACACAGTCAGCTGGTGGCGGCCGCCCTCAAGGCCAGACGCACTAATATTTCTCCTCCAACAATACTGTGTGGTGTTATTACGCTATATACACACATTATATATAAATATCTACCTGTTTTATTCACCATACTTGTACAAATAAACTGGTATGGTGCCCAAAGACCATCATGGTAACCAGTAAACAACACCGTCGTCTGCACGGTGGCGTCGTGCAGACGACGCCACCGCCCTCACCAAAATGGCGGCTCCAAACCTTCTCTTGCTGTTTATACCCTCTATACACACGTTTAATATAAGTATCTACATTTGTGTTCACCATAGAGAACCACTAAGCTGGTATGGTGAGTGCAGTCAATAAAAGGTGGCCACACACAGTCAAAAGACATCGCCACCACCCTCCCTCTCACAGCATTACTCCTCCCTCCATGGCGCACAGCGCTAAATATCACCACAATCCTGCTATTATCAGAACCGTGGTCAGTTTTATCACAGTCAGGGGTCTTCTGTAATAATATCATCGCTACATAATAGCATGAACAAGTATAATTTGGCATTTTTAGGCGATGCTGTGGTCACAAGCTGAACAGCAGTGCTGTTAGCTCATGCTGCGTGCGTCAGGCTTGGTTGCTCACTCAATACTGAGGCCAATAACACCCGGGAGTTTGGCCCACGATTTTTTTAAAAAATGGCATCTGTTTACAAGAGCCCTGATGAAGGTGTGGTGAACCCCGTGTATCCGCGGGCTGTTTAAATCTTGCGTAGTACTCCAACACATCATATGACGTGAAGCGCAGTTGACTGGAACAACGTCCAGCACGTCATATGACGTGATGCGCACTTTAAGGGTTAAAAGGTCTTTGCTAACAGTGGGTCAGGTTTCATCTTGGAAGCTTGGTGCTGTTTCCTAGGGCTTGCTAATACTAGCGTTTATGGTCAGGGAGCTATTGTAGGGCTCCACCAGAAAAGAACATATGATTGCATTCAGTGCTCGACTATTACAATGAAGTAATTTTTGTCTTTTCAAAATTCACATTCTCTCCATTTTAAATTTCTTTGTAGACATTTGTTTTCACAATCCTGCAGTTTTAGATTTTCTTCCATTATTCTTCAGTACGTCTTGGTCGTTAACCTTATCAGCAAATATTGACATGTTGGATCTCACCACCTCGGGTTGGCTTAATTTATACACTGACGTTGGATTTATTTATTGGAAATACGAGTTAAAATTTATCTTATTTCTTTACAGGAAACACAGACACTAGGAGCCTGCCGTAAGCTCTCGCTTGAGTTTGCCTCCAATATTGAGAAATTGGAAGAGAGTTATACTTCCAGTCCATCTACAGACATCCTTCTAGACTCATCTCATAGGTATGAGAATGTACTGATGTCTATACCATTAATAGCAAACACTAGCATTAGTGAATTGTCTAATGATGTTGAAGTAGAAGTCAAAAAGTGTACAAACCAAAAATTAGCAAATGAGGAAAACTGTGGATCAAGCTCATTAAAAGCTGAGGTAGAACTTGGATCTGCAGGTAAGAGTTGTAATATAAAAGGGGAGGAAAAACTAAGACAAACTGTCTTAATGCCTTTTAATTCTGATGTTAATCAAAATTTAGAGCCTACCAAAAAGAAACGAGTGAAGTCTCACTGTACTGATAAAAATAAGTACGTGCAGAAAACACTGTCACCTTTCATTTTGAAAAGAAAGAATCCAAGTTAAGGAATAGTTAAAAGGTGAGAAATTGTAAAGCATAAGGGAAGATATTTACAGTGACTCCTTATGTGTCTTGGTATTATTTAGTTCATTGCTTAAGTGTTTAAAACATGTTTTGTGAAGTACAGTATCTTTTCTTTCTTCCTCGAAGTGCAATGGTCTTCATATTCCTGACTTATCAGGTATTTGATGGGTTAGTGTGAGACATATATAATTTATTATATAGTACATAATTCATGATTTTCTTTGAAAAATTTTAAAAGAGAGAGAAATATTAGACTTTCAGGTGATTAATATAACTCTTAATGTATTTTTTATATTCAGTAGGACATTCTGTCCTTTGGCAGTAAAAGTTGTTGAGCATTCATTACTGGATTGATCTTGTTGATCATCTGGTGTGTGTTTGCTGATGAGATTGAAGACAAATACCAGTACTTGTATGTAGTAAAATGACAAAACGAGATTTATGTGATGATTTGGCCATTAAATTATATTTTCTAAAGTTGGAAGTTTTCTGCAGTGTTTACAAGACTTGATGTGTATTTTTTTTATTTTAGTACAGTATAAGAATTATACAAAAGCTCTCAAATGAGGGTGTATAAACTTATTAGTGCTGGTTCAATACATAACAGTAGTTGTATCCATGGGCACTACAAGCCTCACTGATCATGCTGTCATCAGAGAAGTCTGGTTTTGGACCCAGCTGCTAGAGTACATGAAAACTAAAATTGGCCTCAGTTAAATCACAGGCAATTCAATTTGTGCCCATGTATTGTTGGGGCATACAGCACTGCCTGCCAATAAGGGTGGTGAGAGACAAGATTTGATGCAGATTAATGCAAATTTTTCAGACTGTTATGTATTTGCATAAAATAATAAAATGAATTCGATTGTCAAATACTATCACTTCTTTGAATAGAAATATGAATAGATAGGCATTTAGTCAGAGTAAGTGAATGGAAGGTTTAGCACTAACATTCCACAGGTGCCTACTGATATTATCAAGAATGAATCGCTTCTTTCTAATGAAGTAGTGCTCATGAAATAAGTTAAAAACAGCAAATATTTTGACACATGCTATCAAAATACAAAATAAAATTGACAAGCCAGAGTTAATAAACGACTAATAATGGAAGATGCTTGTAAGTGTAAATGCAGCTAGATGTGTATGCTCTGTAGCCAGCAGTGAATTGTTACAGTAGTCAGCAGTAACATGTTGCAGTAGTCAATACTAATTTGTTGCAATAGCCAGCAGTGAATTGTTGTAATAGGCAACAGTGGCTTGTTGCAGTAGTCAGCAGTGAATTGTTGCAATAGCCATCAATGAATTGTTATATTAGTTAGTAGTGATGTGTTGTAATAGCCAACAGTGAATTATTCCAGTAGCCACCACTAATATGTTGCAATAGCCAACAGTTAATTGATGCAATAGTCAGCAACAACCATGCAACAGCCAGCCAGTGGCGGCCAGTGCAGTAGCCAGCCAGCAAGTTTACCTGTTGCTAGGTTGTAATGATAGTCGTGAGTGAATCTATTGATATGAGCATAGTGTGTTTACATCGACTTCTGACAGTTATTTATATTTTCCTCAAGTGTTATATTAGAGTGTCTTTAACTGCTTGTCTATAAAAAGATCTTTGGGTCTTTAAAGCAAGACTGAGGGAATTTGTAAATAAAATTAAGTAATCATGGATACTTTGAAGTTCATGATCATGAAGTTAAATATTTCTCTTGGTTAAGGGAATACAATTTTTGTTAATATGGTTGAATATTAATTAAAACAAACAAGCTGATTAATTTTAAAATTAAAAAGTAAATTAGGTGAACAGCTGAAAAGTAGTGGTTGGCCAATGGCATTGTTCCATTGGATAAAGTGAAACTTGCCTATTGTGTACCATTATGATTGAATGGTGATTTTGAACAAAGGTAGTGTTATACCTGTGGAGTTTTACTTAAAGTACACAAAGTACCCAAGATATCTTTAGTTTATTAGTTAGTGTGGATTAATTATCTTCATTTTCAGGTTGTATTGGTTAAAGGGAGAGTATAATTTGTATTTTCTAGGTATTTTATTTTAAAGTAGACTTATTTGATTTATTGGTGTAAATATCTGGTTTATATGAAAGTAGGCATTATATTAGTTTGAAAATTCTTAACTCTTTCGTAGCAGTTACGATGAGATTTGTCCTGCATATGAATAGGTATCCATAGATTTATGGAGCCGGTAGATTTGGCGCTCCTGCGTCTAACACAAATATTAAATCTATTTGTGCAGAGATCTGAATCTTCATATTTTGTGTTACATATACATTAGATTTGTAGTACTAGCCAGTTCCTACGTGCTTCCTTATTCAAATATTGTTACAGGTATACGAGCTAAACTCTTACACAATGTCTCGGTACAAGTGATATAATCTTGGGGGGGTGCAGTGTTGTTTGTAGTGTACATAGTGTCCAGAAATATACCTATGGATATTCCTATAAGATAATTTGTGTTAATACATGTACTATATGCACCATTGGTTTTCACAGCAAGACAGTTATTATTACTGTATATAATATTTTAGATAGTCATTAGTGCCAAGTATACTAAAATAATGTTCACAGTGTCAAAGCAAATTCTTTGCTGTTCAACATCATACTTATCATGACATTTCCTGTTTTTTATAATAATTGGTGGCATGGCATTATTGGATGATCATAACAAATGTTTTTTTTTTGTGTCTTCATGTTCCATCTTGCCACAATATGCAGAGAATACGTAGTGGTGAAGCCATACACAGACTACTAAAATAAATATATATATATATATATATATATATATATATATATATATATATATATATATATATATATATATATATATATATATATATATATATATATATATATATATATATATATATATATATATATATATATATATATATATATATATATATATATATATATATATATATATATATATATATATATATATATATATATATATATATATATATATATATATATATATATATAATGTCGTACCTAGTAGCCAGAACGCACTTCTCAGCCTACTATGCAAGGCCCGATTTGCCTAATAAGCCAAGTTTTCATGAATTGTTTTTCGACTACCTAACCTACTTAACCTAACCTAACTTAACTTTTTCGGCTACTTAACCTAACCTAACCTATAATGATAGGTTAGGTTAGTTAGGGTTGGTCCATGGTTGGTCTTCTGGTCCATGGTTTCTACCTATCCAAGACAGTTGGCAGTCAGACTTACCTGGATTGTCATTCTATCCACATATCTTATAATATGGAGTTTTGAGCTGTTTGTACTTTCCACCATTATGGGGCCCAGATTGTGACTTTCTTAGTGTTGCATCTGTGTCCCCAGTGCCAGTATGTGGTGGCTTGGTGGTCCTTGCAGCTTCTCCTTTCATTTTTGCCAATTTTCTTCCATTTTTGTGCATGTACTGTAGTTATATTCTTTCTATCTTGGTTCTTTATAAATTAGCATATGCCTAATACTGTTCAACCTTGGAAAAGCATCTATTTTGCTTTCAAGGTAGGTGTTTCTTCTTCCTCTTTCCTGAAGTTGTTCTGAGCATTTTTCAGCTCCAGCTAGCTCCCATTCCTCTGGAACTAATTTGGCCTGTGAATTTGGTTCTGTCCGTTTTATAATCGCCACTGAATATTCCCTTTTTTAAAGGTGGTCTTATTGCTTTGGCATCTGGTAGGTGCATTTGCAAACTCGTGTTTTTTTCGGCAAGAAGGGGTTTTGTGCCTTTCATCCTAAGAACTAAGAACTTGCTTCTTGCAGGGGTTGGCATTCAGTCCTTGACCATTCCATGTGGTTGAGCACCATTCCTCTCCTGTCCTATCCTAAATCCTTGTTCCCCTTTATTCCTTCCAAGTGCTGTAAAGTTGTAATGGCTTGGTTGCTTTCTCCTGATAATTACCTTACCTCATTCTAAGAAATGTTCTCTGTTACAACCTTCTTTGTTCCTTTCACCATGAACAAGTCCTCTGCTGTTTGTTGGTGGACACTTGGTTTGTCTGATCAGGAGTGCACCAATCCCTTTGTCCTGTTACTGCTGTGTGATGTCATTTGTCAATCCAGTTTCCTTGGTGCCTTATCTTAAGGCCATGTTTTTCTGGTTATCCATTGGTTGGCTCAGTTCAGCTAACTTGATACGTGTCTGCATATACATGGTCCATGCAAATTACAGGCTAATTTGCCTTCTTTACTAATATGTTTATGGCTGATATTCAAGTTTGGCAGTTCTGGCGATCTAATCAGGTGTTGGCTGCTTGTTAACTGTTGGATGTTCCCCCTGTCCTCACCAGACCTTTATGACTTTTCGAACACCTTTTCAGTTGCTTAGTTACTCCTTCCCTGAGCTCTGGGTTTCACACTTCTTCACCCCCCATGGGTTAGCCCCTCTCTTTTTTTTTTTTTTTTTTTTTTTTTTTTTTTTTTTTTTTTTTTTTTTTTGTTAATCTGTTTGTTCAACCAATAGATGGTTTCTCTCTGTGGAGCCATTGGCAGTATGCACTGGGTAGCTACTCATGGCCAGCCAAGAAAATTAAGATCTGAATGTAATAAATAGCCATATTCTGGGTGGCCTCAGTAGCTCCATATACCCTTCTTGACTGTTTTTCCCCTGTTGGTATCAGATACTACTTGGGGGGGGGGCAGCACATGAATGAGGAGGCAGGCAGGCTGAACCTTTGGGTGACCCGAGTTGCCACCTTACGGTGTTCTTGGGTCAACAAACCCAATGTTAACAAACACATGGTTTGTTGACATTGGGCACACTGCTGCTTCTCTTATTTTCAGTTTTTTCCTTAATCAAAATACATAGCGTGTTTACTTCACGTGTACTTTCTGGGTATTTTTACTTGGTTTGGGGGGGGGGGCTTATCAGATCCCAGTGCTGGCCTTGCCCCTGTGAGGACACTAGATTCTGATCCTGGTGTGGTAGGTCTGCACAAGACCCGAGGACTGGCAGTTTTGTGGATAACTGTGGTACTAGAACCAGTGCACTATGGAGCTACTGAAGCTGTCACCCTGCCCCAAAATGTATTTCATTCAATGCTTGATTTATTAGCCATAAATTAATATTCTTTATTTGTTGAGGTGGTGTCTGCTCAGTTCATAATTTTGCTACAAATGAAGTTGTAATACCAGCATATTCTTAAAATAAAAATGTTGTCATGTATGTTCATAGAAAAAAGTTCCCACTAAAGATAGATTTGTGTCAAAAGCCAAGGTCACAGCCTAGTATCATATATCACAAATTCATAATGTATTTCAGAAATATTAAACATTAAAAATAAAAAAACAGATGGTATTGCATATACATGTGGTAAGGTGGGGTGATGGTCATAATTCCTTCGGTCCATTTCCTCCTGCATACAGGACGAGCGTGTGTCTTGCTTTCCGACCGTCCCTCGCGGTCCCTTGTCCCTGGATAGAATTCTTGGTGACTCGGATACTTTTGATATCGTTTGCCTTATGCGTTTCTGTTCTCATATTGGCATCCTTAGTGATATTTAACGCTCTGGTTATTCCGCACATTTGATGGTGCTACATAGCCTGCCCGGCTTGGTGCCTTCTTTTGATAATTACAGTACAGTACTTACTTCCTCCTGCATAGGCATGAATAATTGAGGATCCGGATGTAAAAAACTCGGATAGTAGTGTTTTACAGAAGACATGGGGCTGAATGACCTGACTGGCTTGTGAATATCTTGCACGAGACCAAAGTCTCTATATAAATAGTGATTGTTTTCTTATCCTTTGAAATGCGGTTATCATAAAAGGGTGCCACTGCCTGTGTGGAAAAGTGTATAAAAATTCAAGAAAATTTAAAAGATCCATTTTTTTTTTTTTTTTACAGTATCAGGATTTAGATTATCAAGATATTTTTATCAGAGGGGGTAGGCCATTGGGTCCATAAAATCATGGCACTGCAGTAATTTGACTGATTTGCCATGTAGAGGAGAGGACTGTAATGTTCGAGTTAATGGCTTTTATGTTCGCTGTTTCACTTTATTTTACACAATATGTGGAATAACTCGGTTTATATGCACACATAGTACAAGGTAGACAACAATAAAAGAAGTGTCTTGCAAGCCACTCTTTTCTGCTATTGTGTTTGATAATGTCGTCTAGAAATATTCAGACACTTGTGGGAAACAAAATGTGATTGAATGATAACAGTAAGCCACTAGTATGCTGCAGTAACGTTATCATATAGTAAGCAATTAAAACCTTTAGCAGAATTGTTTTTTTTCGGGTCTAGGTTAACTGTGTTACATCAATGAAGATGTATTATAGCCATATTTACATCATTTATATAAAAACCCGGCGATAATAACCAAGTCAAAATACAACGCATTACCCTGGGAATCGTCGTATAGTGATAATCACATTCCTAAGGGCATTCTTATTTATATGGCCACTTGCAGAATATTGGGTGTTGTCTATCCATGTCTACATAGTAATTGATGGCCATACTATGTTAGTTGATTTCAGTTTTGTTATGACTTGGTGTTGAAGTGTTTTTATTTTAATAAAAGTATTATTTAGCAGTGAAGAGTTGAGAGTTGTTTCTCCTTGAGGTGGTCTCATAAGAGTCCTACAATACAACATAGATATAAGTGTTTTGTACATGTTGATACATAGCCTTCCTGGCTTGGTGCCTTCTTTTGATAATTACTGCATTTGTAAATGTGGGTAGAGAGATGATGAGTGTTTTCTATACATCAGTGAAGGTATATATTTTTGTTGTTATAACATGGTAAAGGCATAGCTATTTTATATAAAACAGTGGAGTCTGTGAATGTGATCCGAGATCTATCCCAAGGGCCTGCCTCCTAGTTGTTGTACCTGACTTTACAGTTCTATCATACCTACTCTTGAAGCTGTGGATGGTGGTTGCTTTCACCACCTCATGTTCAAGCTATTGTTTATCACTTTCACTGCTTACACACCTTTCCTTATATATTTCTCTCGCCTTCTGTGGTTTTCCATGGTGCCACACTTCGTTGTTTTTTAACTGGAAAAGCGTGTTCATTTTCACTTTCTTTATTCTCCTTAGTATCTTGATTCATTGTTTTTATCATCCTTTCTTCCAGTGTTGTTAGCTGCAGTCCATTGAGCTTATTCTCTAAGCTCATTTTTCTTTATCTCTGGCACTTGTCTCATGACAAAATATTAAACCTTTTCAGTTTTGTGTTTTATGAGTAGTGGGTTAAACCGTAGCTCCATACCCTAGGACTCGTTTAACATACCAAGTGTAGTATTTTGAAGGAATCCTTTGTTAGGTGGGTAAGTGGGATTGTTGTGGTTTCATGGAATTCCAGTATTAACATTAGTATGTATTTGGTGACAAACATTGATATGTATTGAAATATGAGCATTATTATGTGCCAAACTGTAAGAATTAGAAGTAAATCATGCTGTTTTGATTTCATTGTGTGTGTGTGTGTAAACATTGCCTTGTACTATACATACAGTATTTGAAGAGAAATATTACTGATTACAATCATATGTTGCCTGGAAACAATAACATAGTTTCTGCGTAAATATTTCGTGCATAAATTGTCATTATCCAGTTTCCACTTTCATGGCGTTATGATATATCAGTTAAGGGGAAAAAGGCAAGAAATGTACTGGATGGTTGTAAATATTAAATCATAAACCTTTGAAAATATCACTCGACTGTTGTATAATTCACGAGAGCAACATTACAGTATGTCTTAAGAATTTTCACATGCATTGTATATACTGTAGTCCATCAC